AGCTTGTGCTTATAGGCAACCACAACAGCAGCAGCTCAGATGCCTACCTAAGTTATGTGACAAAACCACATCTGAAGAATGTAAGACATTGCACAGATTGCTTTATTAGCATTAGGATGTTACATTCTGCCTGAAGTGCAATTTAGACTCTAGTCCTTTTGTGATTTTGAGCTTCACTTCCCAATCTGTAAATTGGGAGTAATTTATAACTTGCTTATTTCACAGGAGAATTGTAAGCATGGGTACATTACAAATTACGAGGCACCCAGATACTATAGGGGTGGTAACTGTATACTTTAGTCACATTATCAACCTATTTCTGTCTACTATCTCATAGGTGTAGTGCACTGTTTGCTTCCTTGCAGTTAGATATTATCCCTGCTCCAGAGCTGAATGAATGCCTCAGCATCTGCACTGACCAGCTGCATTGTCAGCAAAAAATAGTCAGTACTTCTGAAAAGATTAAATGAAAAATGATCTTAAAATAATTTACTTTGTAGGTGAAAGAACTCAAAGAAATTAGTTGAGTACCACCACTGAGGAGGTACCAAATTGCTCTATTGTGAGTAATGGCTGCAACACCAAGTCTTGCTGTCTCATCTAACACTGATGGACAATCTAGTGAGGAAGTAAATAGTGGGCTGTGGATTTACATAGAAAAAAATCTGGAGAGCAGCATGAACTTCCATATTTATTGTATTTAAGCTTACTATAGTGGTTCAAAATATGTTGTAGGTGGTACAGAATATGTTGTACAAAATATGCTGTCACGTGGTTATCAGCTTTAATGTGCAGTCAGGTCAAGAAGGCAAAAAAAATTGGTTTCCTATCCTGACATGCAGAGGCCTTCTTTATCTGTCTTGTTTAATTCTGTACAGACACTGATGTTGTAGTGAAATAGCACATGACCCCAGTGGAATTTAGCCAAATCTTCTCTTTAATTGGCAGCTTACTTTTTCTCCTTGAATTGGCCAATGTTGACTGTATTTAATGTAGGAGCCTTCTGTACTAGGACAAAGATTTCATCTGCATCCAGGGTACTTCTGCTTTAATTAGGGGAAAAAAAAAAAAGCCACCAAAAAACCCCAATTCTTTTCATGTCTCCAGAGTGTCTGTTGTAGCAGATTAAGCTTAGTAACAGTTCAGTCATGTGTGAAACATTCTTGAAAGATAGAGCTCTTCTGTATCTCTCTCTTCTTTTTTTTTTTTTTTTTTAACAGTGAGAGGGGTTATTCTCTCTTGGCAACATGAGAAATTTTTTTTTGCCATGGCTTTTGCCACGCTCCTGAAAAATCTTGATGTTGATGGAAATCATTCCTAGGGAAATCTCAGTAACAGCTGGTAATGTGGTGTACAGAAAGTTCTGAAAAAGAATAAAAGATCCAATGATCTGGAGATGCTAGAAAGGAGAAGACCGAAGATTTCAAATGAGAAGATGTAAGAGGCAGGTGTATATGTTTGGTGGCTATATGTTAGAAACCATTGATAGGTACACATTGGTAAACCATGTGTAAAGTATCACTTTACAGAACACCTTGATGATGTCCAAAGTCAAGGGTATAAGTTATGGACCTGAGACAAAAACGCTCTTATAAGAATGAGATAATCTTTCGTGTAATGACAACTGGCATTCTCAAGTTCACTTGGGAACAGACCGAAGAGGACTGTGCTAGGCTGGATGGATGCTTAAAAAAGTGGAATCTGAACTGGTCTGACCAAGGTACTTGCAGATGTAACAATGAAATGAAGGTCACAGAATCACAGAATTGTTGAGGTTGGAAGGGACCTCTGGGAGTTTCCTTGTCCAACCATACTGCTCAAGCAGGGCCACCTAGAGCCAGTTGCCCAGGATCATGTCTAGATGGTTTGTTAATATCTATAAAGAGGAAGACTCCACAGCTTTCCTGGGCAACCTATTCCAGTGCTCAGTCACTCTCACAGTAGAAAAGTGTTCCCTGATGTTCAGAGGGAACCTCTTGTGTTTCAGCTTGTGTCCTCATGTCCTGTCACTCTCCCTCCCAGTACTTATATACATTAATAAGCCTCCCCCCGAGCCTTCTCTTCTTTAGCCTGAACAGTCTTAACTCTCTCAGCAGTTTCTCACAGGAGAGGTGATCCAGTGTACTAATCACCCTTGTGGCCCTTCACTGGACTCTCTGCAGGAGCAACATGTCTCTCTTGTACTGGGGAGCCCAGAACTGGACACAGCGCTCCAGGTGTGGCCTCAGCAGGGCTGAGCAGAGGGGAAGGATCACCTCTCTTGAGTTGCTGGCAGTATTTTGCCTATTGCAGCCCAGGATACCATCTGCCTTCTTTGCAACAGGGGCACATTTCTGGCGCACATTCAACTTGTCCACCAGAACCCACAGGTCCCTTTCTACCATGCAGCTTTCCAGCTGGGCAGCCTCCAGCATATATATCAGTTCATGGGGTTGTTCCTCCCCAAGTGTAGGACTTCGGACTTCTCCTTGCTCGGTGTCATGGGGTTCCTATTGGCCCATTTTTCCAGCTTCTTGAGGTCCCTCTGGCAGCACAAGCCTCTGGCACATCAGCCACTCCTTCTGGTTTGGTGTCATCTGTAACCTTCCTGAGGGTACACTGTGTCACATCATCCCAATCATTAATGAAGATGTTAAACAGGACCAGACCCAGTATTTATCCCTTAAGGCTTAAATTAATCTTGGGATTTTTAACTATTAGCAATCATCCATAACTTTCTGAGAAATAGATCATATATTGATGCTGACTGACCTTCTGGATCTGAGGTTTGCATGATAAGTAGGTAAAAATCTAAACATTCCCACAAAGAAATAAAAAAAAGGGGGGGGGGGGGAGATATTTGGAGAATCACATTAGCTTACTTTCTATGTTTACCAGGAAAGTCTGGTGAGCAAAGCATTAAGGTTGGGAGAAGAAGTAACTGATTATTAAGGAAATGGTCAGGTAAACAGTACAGAAATTGAAAGGATTCAGCTATTCTGTCTAGGGAGATGCTTGAGTTAGAAATAAAAAAAACCAACAGAATTCAGATACTTACTTTACACAATGGGCCTAAGCAGACAAATGGAAGACTGACTAGCTTGAAGTGTAATTACATTGATAATGAAATCATGAAGGGATAACAAGCATTAAAGGTATGCACCTGGCAGGAAAGATCAAACCAGAAATGGATGTGATACGTTGTGTGATCTTTCTTCATCATCTGTTTGGATTAATTCATCTTGAGGTTGGGTAGGAAACCAAATTTTAGCCACAATAATATTGGCAAATAATATTGAAAGATATATTGAAACAGTATGACTCAAATATTAGGACACCAATATTTTCTTTTCTATACACAGGTGTCTACCTCTTGGATAGATCTTTAATTCATAATACAGGCAATGCAAATCTCATTAGTCCAATCAGCTGAGTATAGAGATTTATATCTAGATCTATCTAAGTAGGCATCTTCAGTGGAATAGTTGTGTAAATAAAGAGACTTGCAGATGTTTCAGTGCAGAGTAGCTCACTGTTGCAGCAGAAGGACATGTGTCTACTGTAATCCGTGTGTCGTACCTTCCACACATGAATGTCTTCAACCCTCTAGGGCATCTCAGATTGCAACTGAGTTGAGCTCTTTAGCTGCTCCGCTGAATGAATTGCTGCACATCATTGTATTGACTGTGACTCTTAGGAGATTAGTTCACATATGGACACTCAAATGTAGATATCCTCACCTCAGACTGAATTCCATCCATACAGTCAAATATACATATAAATATAACATCTGGATGGATTAATTTGCATATATTATTATTAGAGTACTTCTCAAAATTATATCATATGTAAATAAAGACTGGAAAACAAGAGCTAGTAATAATGGGGAGGCACAGATCTCTGTGATATGATACTTAATACATTTTATTAGAAAATATAGGATAAATAGGAAAGAATGCTTTAGATTTTGAAAATCTACAAGAGCATTGCAGAAAACCCAGTCAAAACCCCTGTCAGATGAAGCAATCATTTATTTTAAATTTAAAATAATGCCTAATTTTTCAGTTAAGGCAGAAACAATAAAATACAGGAAAAAGGAAGAAACAGGTAATGTCAGCAAGTGCTTGGAAGAAGAAATGGCAGTAACCAAATCTTAAGGAAAACTCAAAGAGCAAGATATGCTGAAATTTTACAGAAATGGGTTATCTGTACCTTAGGATTTTGAAAACACTGGCTTGCTTCGTCACTGGTCTGATAGCAAGTGCTTTTAATAAAGCTGTGAATGATGGCGTGTGCATTGAGGAAGAGCAATTTTTCTTTTTTTTTTCCTAAGATAAAGAAAGAGAGAAATAATTGTTACAAAATAAGAAGCAGTTTCCTGTGTTAGAAATGGAGGAGGACGTGCTTGGGTGTGTGTTCTACTTCCACTACACAGCAAGCAAAGAGCTGTCCAGTCCAGTAACCAAAAATGGACTCTTACTCTACCTCATCCCAATCGTAGACAAGGTAGATGTCTACATGCTTAAGACAATATTTTAAACCCACAAAATACTGCTTTATATCCAAGTTTTTATGAGTTAATTTTGACATCCTGTATGCCTCTTCAGCCAGCCCAGCAGCTCTCTTGACAAGTTGTTTGAAAATGGATGTGCAGGTGACATCTGAAATCTTTCTCCTATTAAAAAGAAGCTATCAGAGTGAACTTCAGTTAAAAGTAAGGAGCATTTCTGGCTGGTAACCACAAGGTAACTACTAATCTCTCAAGGAGCAGCAGTGTGGAAAAACATATATATATAATTTAACACAGTGGAAATGTGTAGTGCATAACTGATAATTGTAACATATGGTTAATTGCTTTTGTCTCTGCAGTATGCCAGCCAGAACCATGTAAACAAAAAGTGTACCAGAAGCAAATAAAATGACAAATATCATAAAGCTTGAAGAGCAAGGACTGTGGTGATAATATCTTTATACAGAATGGAAATATTTGTAAAACATTGTTTTATTTACTGTATCCACAGGGTTCCTTAAAGAAGGTTCTTAAACAGCTAGTAGAAAAGAAGAAGAGTCTCCAGAATAAGCTAAAAGACTGTGAACTTAAACTGGAACAAGAAGCAAAGGTTTGTAATCACTGTATGCCTCTAATCTATAAAAGCCATTATGTTGTCTGGCAAACAGACAGTGTGTGTGGAACACAAAATAGAATAGTTCCACAAAATATGTCACTGGAAAAAAAGCTCTGCTGTATATTTGTTTTTTCCTGTATGATTCAATTTTTAAGATATTTTGCTTCTTATATTCCTTCTTATAATTGTAGGCTTACCACAAAGCTAATGGTGAGCGGCGCATGTACCTCTCAGAAATCTTACAGGTAAGAAAAATGTGTGACTCGGTAACTTAAAAATCATTATGCTTTCTTAATATAGCAACAGTATCTGTTAACACCATAAGGTCAACGGCTTTTATCACTTCATATCTGCCAAATCCATTACAAAAGCTTCTGGTTGCTTAGTCTGGAGATGAGAAGGCTCAGAGGGCACCTTATCACTCTCTACAACTACCTGAAAGGAGGATGGAGAGATGAAGTGGCTGGTCTCTTTTCCCAAGTAACAAGTGATAGGACAAGAGGTAGCGGTCTCAAGCTGTGCCAGGGGAGGACATTAAGGAAAAATTCTTCACAAAGAGGGTGCTCAGGCACTGGAACAGGCTGCCCAGGGCAGTGGTGGAATCACTCTCCCTGGAGGTGCTCAAAAACCATGTAGATGGGGCCCTCAGTGATACGGCTTAGTCGTGTACTTGGCAGTCCTGGGGTAACGGTTGGACTTGATAATCATGAGGTTTTTTACAACCTAGTTGAGTCTATGATTCTATGATTAAAAAAAAAAAAAGCTGGAAATTGAAAGATTGCTACCAAAGATAGTCAAAGTGCCCTTAGTTGTGAAAGCTGAAGCAGTTTCCTGGTTCTTGCTTGCCCATCAATTAATCACAAGACTGCTATGCTAATGTTTCATTTGAAAAGAACAGAACCAAATTATTAGGAGTAGTGACACCTACCTTAAATAGCAATTCCTCCTTTTCATATTTCTATTTTTTTTTCCTTTTGAAGGCAAACTAGCCAACCAGCTCAGACTGACAATACAGCACATATTTCAGTTAAATTTGTAAGATAAGGGATAAGGTACCTTGTTTTGGTGAAATCAGAGGTTAAATTTTATTGCTGCAAATTATGTAATACATAAAAGTTGATACTAGAAACAGGAGCAACCTGTAAAGGAACCTGTAAAGATTTCTAGTACTTCTTACTCTGAAAGTGCTCTTAATTCCTGAATAATACAAAAGAAGTAGCTTGAGTGTGATACTCAAGAATGACTGTCACTGCATCCCTGTCATAGATAACTGGGGTGAAAGGCTGTAATTAGCAGTGTTTCCACGTGTTTTCACAGTGGGCAGTTGATTCTTTTATGTTGTTCATTGCTGCTTGGGGAGATCTGAAAGAATTGCTTAAACTAACTTTCCAGCATGAAACCAAGAAAAAGACCAGGAAACACCCAGCATAACTGTTATTATCTTTACATTAACAGTGAAACTGGCTGTAGGAAGAAGGCAGGAAATAAAAGATTTTTAAATAGTTCCTCTTCTCAATATTTTAATCATTCAAAAGTACAACTATAAGTTGCGGGGTTTTTTCTCATTCAGGGACGTATGTTAGAAATATAATGCTTCTTCACTGAAAAGGTGGAGTTGCAGGCAGTATGACAAAAAAATGCTAATTGAAATTACATATTCTCTGATCATCCATATTAATAAATAATGATATTTTTGCACAGCAAAGGTTTGTGGCATGTGTTCAATTCCCCAAATCAGCAAGGCATCAGTATAATATGTGCTTTAATTTTTTTATGGCAGTAAGACTGTAGTTGGTCAAAATTAGTTTGGAAATATTTTACTCCCTTAACTGTGATTGTGGTTAGAATATAACTTGTTTTGTAAAAATTTGGTTATTGCAGACCTCAGCTACACTTAAAATTGTTGAAAGGCAAAAAGCAGATGCTTTGACTGGCAAGGGAGATAACCAAATACTGAGGTAAATTTTCTTTATATTCACTCTCTTTTCTGATTTATTATTTTTTGCTAAGTATTATGTTTTGATTATCACAACTTTCTGTTCTTGGTAAATATCACTGAGCATAATCCTACTGACTAGGTATTAATATAATTTTTTCTACTGCTTTTTAATCAGTTTTATTTAATACTGAGTATGTTGCAATATAGAAAATACATATATTTAAGTGGCCTTTTTTAAATCTTACAATATCTCTGATGTTCCTTCAACCTGTGTTAAAAATGGATTTTTTTTCCCTATATTACTGCAGAATTGGGAGCAACAAGTATACCCTTTAGTCCTTTAAGAGTAATTCAATTAAATAAATGTCTTGCTTGGTCCTGTTTAGCCAATGGAGATTTTAGAGCTTTTTGTGGTAGGTAATGTGAGTGATTTTAGATGACAACATATAAAAGGTTCATTTTTTTAACAGATTTCTGTTTAGTAATATGGGTTAGAAATTAAAATTTGAAAAGAACCCACCTGTTCTGAGCTATATAAAACTAAAATGAATTTCTGATTGTAGTGCTTCTGAGTAAGCTTGAAATTGGAGATTTATTTTTTAACTGTACTGAAAATGTTAAGAATATAAAGTATGAAGAATAGAGGGAATCACATCAAAAGTGTCTTAGACCTAGTCTTCTGCCTCCAATGGCCATAAGTAGATGGCTGCAAAAGTGTGTAAGCAGGCAGATATATTTGCTTGTGGAACTCTCCCAAATGTTTTGTATTTGGAGACTTCCTGAGCTAGTATGGTCTTTGTGTATTTAGTATCTCACACTAAATACATTTCTATTAATCCACTTATCTATATTATTAAAATGAGCGTGCACAATATATATTGAGAACATCTGAAAATGTAATGAGTAAATTATAAGCATGAAATTGTATAGACATATTTGCTTATCAGCTTTATCCTTTCATTCTGTGTAAACAGAGAATCACAGGATTTTATAAATTGGAACCATGGATCTTCATGCTCCAGGGAAGGATATTAGTAGAATATGAATTATTGTAGTACAATATGAATTGAAGTCTATGACTGAAGTTTCTCATTACAGAAAAAGCACTGTATGGGTCTGAGATAGCCCATATATAGCCAGTGTGTTGCTTCTGGATGCAGTGATGTCTAACAGATCATGTGAAGAAGGCCAGGAAGCTAGAACTAGGAAAATTGAATGTCTCTGCTGGCAGATCATCAGCCAGATATTGAGATTTGCTGAGGGTTAGCAATGACCTGTGATTATGTTGTGGTTTTTTTATAATTTATTGGAGTAGACCATTACTTACCCTGAAATCATATGACAATGTTTCTGTAATTTCCTTTGTATCAAAGAAAAGAAAATAAAGTGTCCTGTAATTGGTGGTCTCAGAAGATGCATTTTGTGACAAAATATCCCCTTTCAACCTATTTTCTCTCAGTGGATTTTTTTTTTACTTAACTTTTCAAAGTACTTTATGCACATGAACAGAATTTTTCATCTTTTAAATTGTCCTTAGTAGTGAAGCATTGGCTTTGCAGTCCAGTTTGGAAAGCATTGTCTTTTACAACCAGCGACTTAGAACTTTCAGGCCAGTCTTTGGTCATAGTTAATAACATGAAGATAAAAATGGGGATTTGAGATAGTTTGTATTTTGAGGAAATACAAGAACGTAAGTAAGCAGCCTTCGATCGTCACAAGGTTAACGCATTGTTATATTATTCCTTTTTAATTATGTCTTGATTTACAGCCTGAAGTTTCTTCATTCAAGCTGACATTAATGAGAAATAATTTAATTCAAATAAGAGAAGAGCTGCATGATTGAAAATAAACATATTCTTGAGAATAATTTGAAAATTTTCTCTCCAGAGTTCTTATCTCACTTATGCTGGCTTTCCAGAAAATGCCTGTCTTCACTGGATTTCAAACCATACTAAGAAATTATGATTGTTTTAACTAATATACTGGTATGGAAAACCCAACTTGTATATTAAAGCAACACTGAAACACTTTTGTGTGGTAATTGTGAACACTAATTGTTGATGCATTCAGTTTCCTGGTCATCCAAATGTAGAAGCTAAGTGCTGTAGATGTCCTTTTTATGGTATTCCACAGGACAGGAAGAAGATAGGCTAGCTGACAATTGGGAAAAACATGGATGTTTTGATGACTCATGTCTCTGATGCAGTCTGAGCAGCCAATTTAATGTCATTCTGAGCCCCTACTGTTATAGTAGAGACATACAGCAGGGCTTATTAGCTCAGTTTGAACATCGCACTGGCTGCAGCTGCCTGGCTTCAATGTCCCTAAGTCCAGCTGGTTTTGAAGGAGGTTTTGGAAGGAGATTTTGCTGCCTGCAGAATTCCACACAAACATATGCTGTCTGTTTGGTCCAGCTCTACAGCAGTCTATGGATTAATTAAATAATTATTTATTTATATA